CCGCGGGCCCCGGGGGCTGCTCGCGCGCGCGCCCTGCGCAGCCCCGGGGCCGGGAGCGCCGGCCGCGCTTCCCGGGGCGGCGTCTGGGGCTTGCGGGGCGCGCGTTCCCCCGCCGCCTCCCGGTCCTGGAGCGGGCGGTGGAGCCCCGAGCCCCCCCCCCCCCCCGGGGCGGGGCAACCCCCCCCCGCTCTTCCGCGCCAGGGGCCGCCGGCTTTCTTGCGCGCATGTTTACGGGCGGAAAGTGTGTGCGGATTTGCCTGCATGGCTGGCCCTTGTCGTCAGCACGTGCTCGAGTTGTCCAGGGATACTTGTAGCGCAGGAGAAAGTTCCGATGAAAAATACAAAGATACAATGTACATTCCAGGCCACAAACGACTTTGAAACAATTATTTTCTTTCATTGCATCATCAACCTGGGACTTTTACTGAAGGATGGTATATCGAAGCTTTAAACAAACAAACAAACAAACGTTTACCTGAGGGGTCCATTTAAGCAAACTTATTTAAGCTTTGCATAGGAAAGCAAGCAGTGCGATTTTGCCTTTTCCAGCCAGTTTTAGTGTGTGGCTGCATTCTGCTCATCTTGACGCAACTTCTGCATTTCTGGACAGCAGGGATGGGGGCTGAAGCCCTTCCTTCTGCTCTGGAAGCCACACTCCTTTATCTGTGAGGGCAGGCTGGTGACTGGGCAGGATAATTGGGATTATTACCTTCCCTATTCATGGAATTAAAAAAAATGAGGGAGCTAAGCCTTTCTTCTAAGAAAGATAGCAAAGGAGGAAGCAGTGGCTCAGCCCTGCCCTTCCTGCCGAGGTTCATACGAAAGGCACAGGAAAAAGACGAACACTGAGCAAAGAGGAGCTGATGTGCCTCTCGTGAAAGAGGAGGAACAGATGAAAAATAACGCCATTCAATATCCTGGTTAATTTGCAGTTCCAAACACAGATGCTCAGGCTGCGGTTCCTGATTTTCTTCGAAAATCTGCACTCAGGTCTGGTTTTGAGGGCAATGCTCGACTTTCCACCGAACCCAGAAAGGAAAGGGCCATTCCCACAACACAGAGAAACAGAAACAGAGCAAGTCAGATGGCCTCCTGGGCCATCTAGTCTGATTCCTGGCTCCGCTCATGATGTGCCCACCATGTGCCCGTCCAGAGGGAAAAGTTTAAGGCGTGTGGGACCACACTGGCACGCAGAGAGTGTCGCTGTTCTGCTTCGTCTCAAACGTTGCTCAGGAGTGGCAGCACGAAAAGGGGCCTGAGAGCAGCTGCCCACACACCCCTCCCAGGGCCCGGCATGTTCCCAGGCCACTTGGCCCGGCCTGGCGCTCTCTGACCATTTCGGCTGCAGCTCCCATCAGCCCCAGCCCTGCAGGGGATGAGGAGGATGTGAGCTGAACTGCAGAACGCTGGGAGGGCAGCGGGCTGAGGAAGGCTGCTCCGGGTCTTGCCACGTCCAAGGCCCCGAGGGAAGGGGCAGAACGAGCATGCCCCGGCCAAACGCACCAAGCCCGGGCTCAGCCCCGAGGCTTCCCATTTCCTGCGCCAGCGGACTGAGGGGCAGCGCGCGTGGGGCGGGTGCTTCCAGGCAGAGGCGCCCAGCGCCACCACCGAGGAGGCCCTGCGCAGCGACGCGGCGTGGCGTGGCGTGGCTCCTGTCCTGAACGGGCTCCCGCAGGAGGGGCGCCGCAGGCTGCGAGGGAGGCCCCGCCGTCAAGACCTCCGAGAGCGCGGCCGGCCCGGCCCTTCCTTTCCTTGCGGCGGCGCCCCCCGAGGACCCGCGCCGGGCGGGGCGCCCCCGCGCAGGAATCTCCCCCTCCCGCGCCCCGCGGCTCGGCGCGGCGCTCGCCGTCTCCTTATATGGACTCCAGAATGTCTGACGTCACCCACCGTGGGAGCACCAGTGTCGGAGCAACCAAACTCCCTTCGGCTGGAGCGTGAGAGGGAAGGGAAGCGCGCGGGGCGGAGGGCTGGAATGCGGACGGGCGCCGGCGCTCCGCCAATGAGAGCGCGCGCAGGGCTCCCCCATTGGCGAAGGCGCGGCCCGGGCGGGCGGGGCCGCGTCCAGCCGGGCGCAGGCGGCGTGCGGGAAGGGCCGGGAGCGGGTTAGGCTGCGCCGGCTGAAAGGCGCCGCCTGGCTGCGGAGGGGCGTCAGTCAGCGCAGAGCGGGCGCCGCTGCCGGGCGAAGTGCTCCAGGGGCCACGCGTTCGAGTCCCGCCGCCGCCGCCGCCGCCGGTGCCCGCGCCCCTGCCCTGCCCTGCCCTGCGTGGCTGCACGCGGCTCGAGCCGCCCAGAACCCAGAGCCCCCCGCCCGCCCGCCGCGGGGCCGCGACCGCAGCCACCATGCCCGTCTTCCACACGCGCACGATCGAGAGCATCCTGGAGCCGGTGGCGCAGCAGATCTCGCACCTGGTCATCATGCACGAGGAGGGCGAGGTGGACGGCAAGGCCATCCCCGACCTCACCGCGCCCGTGGCCGCCGTGCAAGCCGCCGTCAGCAACCTGGTCCGGGTGAGTGGGGCGGCTGCGCGGGGCGGGGGCAGCGGGCCTCCCGGAGTCCGCCGCCCGCCCAGCCGGAGGCGAGGGGTGCAGCCCCGCGAGGCGCCCGAGGAGTTCCCTCCCGCCGCCCGCCTCGCCCTGCGTCCCCGGGCGAGCCTCCTGGCGGCCTCCCGCCCCATCGCGCCCGTCCCGTCCCGTCCCGTCCCGTCCCCGCGACGGGCGCGGCGCGGGGGGCACCGGAACGGTCCTGGGCGATGCGCCGGTGCGCGCTGCTCAGAGTGCCCCAGCTGGGGGGGGGGGGGTGGCTGCCGCCGAGAGGGTCTTGCGCCATCACTCAGGATCGCTCGCAGGAGCTCGCGCTGCGCCGGAGACTGCCGTCCCCCGCTCCGTGCAGCGGGCGGCGAGGGGCGCGCTGGATCGCCCCCACTCCTCCTGCGGCTCCCGGCCCCTCGAGCCCCGCTCCCGGCGGAGACACGCCCGGCGTGCGCTCGGCCTCGCGCTGAGCCCGCCCTGCCGGACGCCGCTGGCCGGGGAGGGACGCGCGTGCGGCGCCGCGACCCCTGAGCCGCTCGCGGAGAGGGGCCGGGGCGAGCGCCAGGCCTTTCGCGCTGCCCTCCGGCCCACGTGCGGCCGAAAGGGGTGCGGGCTCCGGGGCCGCGCCCGCGCGATGATGAGCGATCCCGGCGCGCGCGGGCTGGGCTGGAAGGCCCCCTCCTCCCTGGGTCCCTTCCTTTTCTCATGACCCTCCATTTCCCCGAACCTCCCAGGAATGGCTGGTCACCCCCTGCACGCTTTCCAGCGCCAGCCCTTCCATTTGCCCTTCCAGGATTTTACTTCTGCTCACTTGCATCAAGTTCTGCAGTGCAAGTTTGTCTTCCTTCTCTGGCTTCTTCTCCTTGGCCGGCTGTCACCTCTAGGCGATGCTGCCCCTTCCCTCCTCCCCAGGCTCTTCCACTGATTCTTCGCATATCCCTACTCTTTTAGGTCCAAACGGCGCTCGCTCTCCTAATTGCTCTGGCGCACACTTAAAATACACTTTAAAAGAGGTGGAATAATGTTTAGCGATCACTGTTACATAGTTGCTCAAGCGGAGGCTCCAAGGTTTCAGATGTGGATTGGCCAGTCAGCCCTGAGCTGGGTCTTTTTCTCGGCTTTAGTCTCCTTCCTTGCCTCCCTGCCCTTTCCTTGAGAAACTTTTCCCCCCGAGGGTGGAAGAGCAACAATTCGGTCCTGCAACATTTTTTTCTCACAAGTTCGCTTGTGCTACTGTTTTTTGAAGACTCGTTCTCTGGGACTCCTGCTCTTGGCATGTGTTTCCACTCTTCGTTCCAGCTTTTTCTTCTGTCTCTTTCCAGGCAGATAGAAACGAAACAGCTGCAGAAAATATCCTGCAATCCCCAGATATTGCCTTGGACTGCCACCAACCTTTTCCCTTCATGACAAGGCTGTAGCGAGTGATATATCATTTCTAATTCCTCTTCGGCTAGGCTGTATCTGAGCATTCTTCAGCCATTTATTTTTATTTAGGTATTGCTGAATAAATGTATGGCCCACCTTTACTCCAAGGAGCTCCATCCATCCATCGCTTCTCTTCTTTCACCACTGCCTGCCCCCCTTTATGGTCGCCCTTTCATGACCATCCTGAAGTCCATCAGGTCCTGCTTATTCCGTCATCTGGATATTTAATCCACTCAGTGCAGATTGCTTAGGACACTGGCACAAATCAGGGCTCTTTCGGTTAATGTAGAAAAATTTACACCCCGGTCTTGCACTGCAGGTAGTTCTTGTCTCGGATCCATGCTGCCTGTGTCTTTTATGGCATTACTGGTAGAAGGAGCGGTGTTCAGTCTTTTGTATGGCTCCAGGTCGCTTTGATGGCAATTCCGGTTTTTTCATTTTAATGGGACGTGCCACAAAGTGTACGCCTTCCAGGCTGGTGACGTAGTGGGCACAATTCTTGCATGTGGTTCACAGAGCGGAACACAAACAGGTGCTTGAACCAGTAGTTTTCTCTAATACGAGGCTGGTTCGCACTGCCATTTGTGTAAGGGATGTGAATTCCCACTTGGATGCTGAGGTGGCGTTTTACGATGTGTTCCATTGTGGCTCACGCTGTCGAGGTTTAAAAAGCGGTGCTAATCTCTCTCCAGGCAAGCAGCCCTGAACAGATACTTTTTTCATACTCCTGCATTTTAAATTGGGAAATGGAAGAAAAACAGGATGCCAACCCTTTAATTCAAGTCGAGGAGAAAGATGTGCAGACTCTGTGCGCTGGATGTTCATAGCTGGCTTCTTTGGGCCGGCAATCATCTAATGTGAATTAGGGTTTATTTCCCCAATATTTTAACAGTTAATTGGTTTTATCTTCGAATTTATCATTAATGGTCGGATGCCGTGTGTTGTGTGTTGTATGTGGTTGTTCTGTTTTTTATAAGCTGCCCAGAGACTTTAGTATTGGACGACATATACAAATGTTAAATAAATAAAAATGAATTAATTCTGTGCTTTGCTGACAGCCGGTAGGCAGGGACGGGGTCCTGCTTAAGCGCCTGTGCTGAACAGCGCTGCCTGTGGCATCCCCTACGCGGACCTGGCGGCAGGGTCCTCCAGGTGCACCCAAGAGCGGGTGCCAGAGAACAGGCTGCCGCCAAGGCGGTGTGGGTGCCCCTGGAAGTGACGTTGCGCTGCTCTGAGGGGCTGCTGGCACACTGCATGACTTGCGCTGGCACAGCAGGTTCTGCACTGCCGTGGCGCGAGAGGCCGTTTCAGTCAGCCCTCCTTTCGTTTTAAATCCCACAGTGACCAGTGCGGTCCTGTTAGTTTTTACTCGGAATCGCGTCCCACTGAGTGCAGTGGGGCCGACGCTAGTAACTTTGTTCAGGGATTGCACAGCAACGAATCTGATTGAGCCCACATGCAGATGAATAGATATATTAAGTGATCTGAAACGTATAGGCTGTGGTCAAAACTGAGGCTATTTCCCTTAGGACTTATTGGAATTAAAAGTTCTTCACTGAAGGGACAGTCGTGTGCACGTTTAGTCAGAAAAATGGTCTGCAATCCCCTGCACGGATGGCTGGGACACACTGGAAACATCGACACTGAGCGAGTCAGGAGGGGCCTCCCGAGCCATCTAGTCTGACCCCCGGCCCCAGCCGGCTCCGCTCACAACATGCCCACCACGTGCGCGTCCAGCCTGTCCTTGAACTCCTGCACTGATGGGGCCCCAACGACCCCCCGTGGAAGCCCGTTCCACGCCCTGGGGGTCCTGACTGTCAGGAGGTGCTTCCTGGCACCCAAACGGAACCTGGCTTCCCTGAGCTTTGCTCCGTTGGGGCGCGTCCTGCCTTCCTCTGCAGGGGAGAACAGGCCTCTACCCACCTCTGTGTGACACCCCCTCACAGACCTGCATGTCATGAACAGGTGCCCCCTGAGTCCGTTTTCCCGCTCAGGGAGGCCTGGGATCCCATCTTTCACTGTTGTTGCCTTTTCTCCCTGATTTCAATGGATCCCAAGTAGAGCTAACTTAGACTGGTCCTATTCTCTCTTCTGGGCTTATGTGTATGGTAGGTATACTATCCAAAAGATCTGAAAAGGGTTGGGTACCTGTTGCATGAATAGTTCTGGGTATGAACGTTAATTGTTTAAGATCGCTGAAGTGTCGGATGCAAGATTTTTTTTTAATTCGTAGAGGAGTCCACCTGAGAGGTAAAAACCCTGCATGTCTATGCATAACTTTTAACAACTAACTTTTGCAGCCTGGCCAATGCCAGGCCCTGCACAACTTGTGGATTGGCTGGTGATTTTTAAATCCAGTGCTGCGCTCCTCCCCTTGGCATTCTGCCCGATTGGAATCTGATTTAACCCTGTCCTGACTTCCTTACAAAGTTCTGCCCACTAACTCTGGTATTATTTAGCAAGGGACTGGGAACAGGGCTGGGCAAGTTTCATTCCCTTTCTGCTCGGTTATAGTTAATAATATTCCACACTTCTTGCTTGCTTTGTTCTGAAGACTGAGCTCAGATGCATTCTTGTATTGTTGGAAAATGCCGCACAAGCACTAGCTGTGCAGTTGTATGCATGTCTACTCAGAAGTAAGTCACATTGCATTCACTGGGGCTGACTCCCCAGTAAGCATGTATAGGATAGCAGCCCAAATGAAAGTAAACAATGGATTCCTTTGTGGGACGTTATGGGGAGACATGTATGAGCTTAAGCGTTCGGAAAATACCGGCTTCATAGAAATCATGGAACAGAGTTGGCCATGAAGGCCATTGAGTCCAACCCCCGGCTGTTGCGGGACACCAAGTCACACCATCCCACTCAGAGAGCTGTCCAGGTTCTTCCTGAATGTCTCCAGTATGGGAGAGCCCCCCACCTCTCCAGGCAGCTGGTCCCACTGTCGTATTGCTTGGACAGTGAGGAAGCTTCTCCTGATGTCCAGCCTGAACCTGCGTTGTCACAACTTGAACTGATTATTCCGAGTCCTGCACTCTGGGATCAGCGAGGAGAGATCTTGGCCTTCCTCGTTGTGACTGCCTTGGAGGTCCTTATAGAGGGATCTCATGCCCCGCTCAGTCTTCTCTCCTCAAGGCCAAACATGCCGGCTCTCTCAGTCTCTCCCAGTTCTCTGAGATCATTTCTGTCACCCTCTGCTGGACCCTTGGTACCCTATTCTTTATTGGTAAACAGATAGCATGTCAGGTGGGATCCAAGGCCAGAGGTGGTGGCTGGCTGGCTGGCTTGCAGCCATTTGGCTGCTCTGGGGGGCAGTGCCTTTCCAACCTGCCCCCCTCGGGACACTCCCTGCTTTGCCTGCAAGGGCCTGCTGTGGGGAGGTGTGCATGGGATGCATCCTGGCCAATATGTAGCTTTTTTAACACCAGAAACAGAACACTGGTGTTACTTCTGGGACTCGTGATTGCCAGCCAGTGCTAACCTTATTTGTTTATAACACAGTTTTGAAGCGTCTGCACTGAAATTAAATTTTGATTATTGTATCTGAGAGTTAA